ATAAATAGCGCTCTCTACTGCGAGGATCGTGCATCAAACGTATCTAATACCGCAGTTCAAAATATATGAACTTCATATATTCATTGTATCTGATTTATCATCACGGGTTTATTACGAATCAACTTAACGGCCTGCTCCCAGTTGGCTTGTGAGCTCAATTGGTAGAGCGCTGCACTAGTATCGCAGAGGTCAGTGGTTCGAATCCCGTACAGGCCTGAATTTTTTTCAGGTCTGATTTTCACTATTGCTTAAATAGTGCTTTACTGCGAAGGATCGTGCACATATACGTTTCATAACCGCAGTTCATATATATGTATTTCATATGTTTGTTGTTTGATTTATCATCTACGGGTTTATGTCGAATTAATTTGATGGCCTGCTCCCAGTTGGCTTGTTAGCTCAATTGGTAGAGCGCTGCACTAGTATCGCAGAGGTCAGTGGTTCGAATCCCGTACAGGCCTGATTTTTTTCAGGTCTGATTTTCGCTATTGAATAAATAGCGCTCTCTACTGCGAGGATCGTGCATCACACATAATACATGATTAATACATATCTTAATACATAATCCATAATTAATACATATCTTAATTAATACATTTTGAGCTTGTCAGCTCTCCGATTGCCACAGTTCGATACAGGCCAGTTTTTTGGGGGGCAGGGGGCTCTAAGTCTTACTGGTTCCTCCATTTTGGTTTTACCGCTGTGTAATGAGTCCTTTGACCGCAAGATAAAAAACTTCAAAACCCACTGATTTAAGTTCCGCACGAGGTAAAATATTGAAGCTTACTGCATTTTTCAAATCAACCGCCCCAGTCAGATGTATTTGCAGACCTATCGATGTTTTTTTTTGCTTCCTTACATATCTCAATTTTATTACGCTACGAATAGATGGGTGAAGAGAAGGTCAGTTTAAACGCATGAATTCCTTCTTTAAGTCCTAACTTTTATCTTCACCGCTTCACACAATTTAGAAACCAATGAGGCCTACATAAACAGGTATTTTGAAAGACGTAAGACCCGCTTCCGAATGAAGTATGTCCGTACTTTTGGCCTCTTGAAGATAATAAGATGAGGATGGTGATCGGCCTATTAAAGAAAACATTCATGGATTACATTTCAGCCTTCCGTTTGAAGTGGCCAGCACTTTAATGTTAAATTCGAGATGGCGGTCAATGTATCGAACCGTGACAATCATACAGCTGACAAGCTCAAAATAAATCAGGATATGTACAACTAAACGATTTACCATGTTTATAAAGTGTTTTATCTGACCAATACGGGCAGGTACAAAAAGCAGGTCACAGGTCACAGAATGTTGAACTCGTGACATTTTATTGTTCTATTCTTACACGAAAACCGGAACGCATGTATATTATATGTTCATTTCTGACGACCGGAAATGGAACACTATAATACAACGCCTTGACTCTATCCGGTGTATAAGTCTTTAATTGACCTGCTTTTTAACATAACATAACATAATCTTAATTTCTTAAGTTAAAATCACAATTATCCTAAATTACAACATAAACTCACAAGGGAAACTATTACATGTCATATCTAAAAATTATCCTATTACTAAAAACGTTCTCAAATCTTTCAGTGTGGATTCTAGGGACAGAGACTGACGTATTTCTAAGATTGTACCTCATGTTCTTTTCCTTAGGTAAAAATTGGAAAAACGGGCATTCGGGGTCATTCGATCTTTTTTTGTAGTCCGCCTTCTCTAGCAAATCCCTGATATCTACATTCTTGGACATAAACTTCCTTTTCAAACACTGGTCCAAAAAATTCTGTATTATAGAAAGGTCGGAGCCTGAGGCACCATAAACCGGCAGAGCATAAGAAAAATTTGGTAAAACTATAGCATTAAAAAGGTGATCTACTTCCTCCTGGGACATTCCTTCCTTACGTAAAGATCCTAATATGAATAATGACTTGTTCGCCTTAATTACCTTCGCGCGCACGTGATTACTATATTTACAATTTTGTTGGAAAGTTATACCTAATATTGATAACTCTGCACACTGCGGTATATCCCTCACTAGCGCGATGTCCTGTTTGAAACCTTTCTTACGGAAAATAATCTCCTTGCATTTTGTTGGATTGCATGTCATGCAATTGCGGCTGGACCAGCTAAGAAACTGATCCACCAAGTCAGTGCGACACTGGCCGTTTCCCCTAAAAGGGACGATAATTGTAGAGTCATCAGCATATTTAAACAAGGCTGGGTGACCTTCTAGATTGAACTCCAAATCATTAATAAACACGTTGAAAAGATATGGCCCACTGACACTACCTTGCGTCGTACCCATATTAACCTCACGCCACTGTCCCTTAAAATCGTTATAAACTACTCGCTGCTGGCGTTTCTCGAGAAAACTTAAATACCAGTTCACAATAAGGGGATTCAATGGCAACTGCCCAAGCTTAGATGACAAGAGTTCATGATTGACACAGTCAAATGCTTTGCTAAAATCCATTGCAAACACTCGGACGGCTTTGCAGTCTTGCTCGTCTAAATAGCTGTAGATGATATGCTGTATGCTCAAGAGCGCATCAGTGCGGCTCCACCCTGTCTTATAAGCAAACTGTGTTGAACTCAGATGCTGTTCGACAATGTTTCGTGCATGGGTGTTATACACAGATTTTTCGAACGCACGTGCAATTACAGGCGTGATCTCAATTCCTCTGAAATCCTGCTTGCCCTTAGGGATGTCAACCTTAGGGAGGGGGGTCACGTGGGCCCTTTTCCACGAGGAGGGCCACTCGCCAGTTTTCAAGGAAACATTCCAGATCTTATGAATGACACTTGTAAAGATCTCAGCGTGATCCCTCCAAATCCAAGAGGGAATGAGATCTGGTCCCATAGCGGTTTTCTTCAGATGTTGTTAGCAATACCACTCGTGTCTTTCTGATATCTGAGGGGCTTCTAAGCTCTTATCCACAATAGCTGGTACAGGCTTCGTATATGCGTCATCAGTGCACAAATCGGCGAAGTAGTCGTTTAGCTCCTCCAGTGATTTAGTGTCCAATGTAACATTAGCAGAAATGCTGCGTCGCTGGGACAAGTTATCTACTTGCTTCCACCATTCTCTGGATCTGACAGGTGCCTTTGCGAATGTTCTTCTGCTCTTACTAATCAATTCGCTTATTTTTTTGTTAACCTCAGCCAACCGGCCTTTACAAGTCCAATACATGACTTTTAGGGGTACTCCATTAAGGTACTACATAGGGTACTCCATGGAGTGGGGCTCCGCGTTTCGTCATCTTTCCCTCAGTTCCTCTTGGGAATCCTGCAGTGAAACTTGTACTGAATTTCGCTTGGTTTGCCTTTGAAGGACTTCAGTTCTTCTCTTCTTAACTTCTTCGCTTGTCTCAGTTGTTCTACAGCAGCTTCGGAGTTAGCTTTTTTTAAATTTTCGACTTATTGAAAAATAATAATAGGTTCCAGTCCTTACTTGGAAACCTGATTTTGGAGCACTATTTAAAGTCAGGACCATTTTTTTTTTCAGATGGCAGTGCAGCCATCTTGAAAACTGATTAAAAATCTCCTGAGAGGAGGTTCACTCACTTCCCACCATCCCTTCAAACAGCTCCACACTGAAGCGTTGCACATGCGCAAGTGGACCAGTTTGTTTAGCCTTCTTTTGGTCTGCTTTGCACCAACTTAGGAGAGCATTCAAAACAACACATGCAAAATAAATGTGCGACCCTAAAAGCCAGACCAAGAGGTGGAAAGTTACCCCAAACCCTGAAAAGTGAAATGCTGGAAAATCACCCCAAAATCCTACTTGATGAAATGGTGGAAAATTACCTCACATATTGAAGATGAAATGGTGAAAAATTACCCCAAATCCTAAAAGAGGGAGCGGTGGAAACTACCCCAAATCCTTAAAGACAGAACTAAAAATACAGTCTTTTCCTTTCTTATATTTAAAGGGTGTGGGGGAAAAGAACTGTAAATAAAACCTCATATCATGGCAACCAGGTGACAGAAATGTCATCTTTTGTAGACTACATTGTTCAGCTGATAGCCAAAACACAGAAGTTGTACCTCAAAAGATATACAAACAGACAAACTTTATCAATTCATAGAAAGGACGTAAGTCCCACAAAGCGCAGTTTTAATCTCTATGGATGTCACTAGGCTATAAACAAATATTCTGCAAGAGGAAGTAATTGAAACTTCATGCAGATCTTATGAAGCCTTTCACATGTGAGAACCTCAATGCTAAGAAACTTGCTTAGAGAAATGCCTAAACTCATACTGAAGGAGAGTATCCAACAAATTAAACTGGGGGAGAGAGAGATTAAAAGAAATTATGAGTTCTTCAGAGATAAACCTCTGAAGAAGTACTGCAAGATTCTAATGATTTGCTGGTTGTAACAACCAGAAAAAAAGTTTTGGTTCCTAGATTTGCAATACAAATCTTCAAACACAAAGCACTGCTATAGGCAAAAAAATGGTGAATGCTTTTACCAACATACATATGTCTATGATAGAAAAAGAATTAATCTAAGCTAGCACGAGCTTCATCAAACCAATTGAGATACATGAATCCATTTCTTCATTCTTGAAGCAAACAGGTATCATTCTACTATACAATTTGCAGCTGATATAATAGAGGAAATATCAACTTTCCAAATATTACAATTTTAAAAAGCCACTACCACTTTCAATTTTGTGCTGCCTCAGAAGACAGCTATCTTGAAAAACTACCAAATGTGACAAAAACAACTGAAACAATTTCTAAAATAATTAACTAAAATCTTGAATAAAACTAGAACTCTTTGACAAAAAAAATTCTTTATTCAGCTACTCCACTTTAAAGAAAAGTGACATCATGGTATGGAAAATAAGAAGCATGCACCCTTCAGCAAAAAGTACCACAAATTCTCTAGTATCTTTTAAATAACAGAGCAGCTAACAGGCTACAATAAAGTCTTTCTACTCTTGCCACCAGAGCTGCCACAGATAAAACTTGTTCAAAAAAGCTTAGTTGAGGATACACAAGTTATTATATGGCTGCCAATAAACCGTCTTTCAAGCGACTCTTTGCAAGTTCTGACAGGGCCTGTTAACAAAGCAACAATTACATAAGTACAGCTAATTACAATAAATCATGTAATTACTATTATGCTGAGTGTGAATTTCATTGAAAATCATTGTTTCACTGTAATCACCATGCATAAAAAAAAAGACCTCCACCATTTCATTACAGTATCAAATGTTAGGGACATTCGTTGTCAGTTCATCTCCCAGGCAAAGGTGTGATATCAAAGGGCTCTTCAAAGTGAGAAATGGAACTCTCAATCCATTCAGGGTCTCTTTTGTAATGAACAAAGTGCCTTGTCCACAGCAAATATCATAGTAACCAAAACAACTTGTTTTCACTCTACACCCCAACTGACCAAGGAAAACAAGAAAATTGATAGAGAAGTTACCATGATTTTAACTTGTATTTTATGACTTCTGTTTCAGTATTTATTCATTCTTCTCCTCACACTTAGAGAGAACCATTATTACTTCTTGACACTTCTTAGTTTAAGACAATTATCATGATTTGGGAGTACAATTTTCAGTAAAGACAACAGAACCTCCACACTACAGCTAACATATTTTGGGTTTGGTTAAAATAAAACATCTTAAGTTAGATTTTTTTCTCCATCTGCACATTTCCAGTGAAACTTACTTTCATTTTGCAACATAAAACCTAATTAATATAAACACAAACCTTGAATGATCTGGGTTCATGGATAGCAAGGTCTGCAAGGATCTTCCTGTTTAACTGGATATTGTACTGGGGACAAAGGAAAGAAACTTCTAACATACAACCATAGTAAGATTTACTGTGTTTTTTTTTTTCCTCAGTGGTGTTATTTTAGCACAGTTTACTTTCACAAAAATGAATTCCATATTTCTATTACATTCAATATAAAAAATGGTTATGCCGCTACAAAAGAGTATCTTTAAACTCTGTAATTGTATACATGAATAACAATGCCTCACCATATGTAAATTGTCCATACACAGTCACTGGTTTAGACTGAGATAATTTCTCATACCTGAGCCATTTTGTCGATGAAGTTAGAGTAGTTGACATTATGTTCTCTTGTAGCAATATTTATTCTTGTTATCCAAAGCTGCGAGGAGAGTAATGAATATCTTAACCCTTTCACTCCCTACACTATCTAACAAATAGGTATTGAGACTACTCAAACTTATCAAGTAGAAGCACAGGCATCCTAAGTTCACATCTCAGCAAAAAATTAAATCCTGAAAGCGTTGCGCGTTGTGTGACAGTGTTGAGTTATATGAGGAATTGGTGAGAATTTGAAGGCATTATAAGGAATTCCTGTTCTAAGACAAACACTTCATCTTATAACAGGAATAACAGTGATTGCAGAGCAAACCCAAAATGGTAGAAATCACCAAATCATGAATTAATATTTTGCTTTTTCTTGACAAATGAGCTTGGAACACCTGTGGTAGAAGTTATTATCTTTATCTAACACCAAATTCTTGTAACCAATTTAAAGGGAAATTTGTGGCAGTTAGAGAGGAAGACTAACAATTGGAACTTAGGAGTTACAGGGTTGACACAGTCATTTGTTTAAGATCATGACAAAATCATTAAAATATTGTACCATTTAAAAAGTGGTGAATTATTACTCACTGCACGCATTTCTCTTTTCTTTAACCTCCTACTAATATACTGATACTGCAAAGCCTTATGCACTCTTCTAATTGCAATACTATAGCAATTCTTTGAACGACCACGGAAACCCTGAAATTAAAAAAATGGTAAAAGGACAAGGAGAGTGTCAAGCATGTGGTGACAATAACAAAAAGTTAAGATATTACTTTAACACAAGGAATGGTTCAAATTTTCAGAAATATCAAACAATTGATGAATTTTTGGTTGTTATTGTTCAACAAGGAAAGGCTAAGGTCATCTGTTGGGATATGTCTGTTTGCAGAAATAACTGTCTTTTTTATTTATTTGGTAGAAAAATGTTTTCAACCAGTATCAAGCCGGGTTAAAAAACAGTTGAAAAAGCATGGGTAGCAGTCACTATAAAATTTTTTGGCTTCTTGGAGTCAAGTATAGCAAATCAGTTGCCAGCCACAATGCTTGCTATATGCAAAAACAAAATTGCCTTAGGGTACCCTAATTTCATGACATGTTTGACATGAGGGATGATACTCTGTTGCTCTGATTGGTGCAAGCTCTCCCCAATACTGTGATCTGATAGGTGTAAGATACATATCCTAATGCAGCAATATGATTGGTGCGTGCTAGAAACCCTAACGTGCTGAGCTGATTGGTGAGAGAAATCCAAATGTGGTGATCTGATGATCTGATTGCTATGAGCAACATACAACTCGATATACTATAAAAAAGTTTACCCAAAAACATATGCTTGCCACACTGCTGATTGACTGATTTGCCAGAAAATATTTATAATATTTATAATATCTATATGTTGACTCGCTCAAGACAAGCGGTGTGTTCAACAGTTTAGTACAGTATGTTTAACCTCAACAAGCCGAAATAGCGTCTAACAAACTTTCCATAAGATTTACACACGAATGTACGTTACCTTCGCAAGAGCAAGGATTTTTGTCCTTTTTATTGCCCGACTTGGTGGAGGTGCCCGAACCATGGTTATTCCTTATCCTGGATGTCCCCTGAGCTCTCCAATAATACAGCAACATTCACTATTAACTTGAAGTCACCTTCCCTCTTGACAAGATCCCTTGACAATATATTTTGTTCCGATACAGCTAGAAATATTGTTTGTATTTTCTTCACCGTCGTTTAAAGTATGCAGCACGGGAAACTTCTGAAGTCCCCGGAGTCGTTCCTTGAGTCCACAAGAGTGTCTGCTCTTCTCATTAAGCGGTTGGATCTTCAGATCTTTTGACTACGTCATGTCAACAGCTCTCCGACTGTCCAGCTCTCCCATCTTACTACTTTCTTATATGACGCAAATCTCTTTGCAACGGAAACTGCTGACCGTAAATGGAGAACTGTTCGTTCATTTCTATGACAACGAACGTGGCAAATTGGGCTCCCGAACAAATAAACGAAGGCTCCAACCTCAGTTACATCTCAATATTCTGGGAAGCTGTCAGAGAGACAATTTGGTAAGTTAACAAGCGCATACGATTTCCCTGTTTGTCAATATAAATTATTTTGGGAGATTGCTTTTTCTGTGAGATGAGTTCACATAATTTTGTTTTTCTCTCTCTCGGTACTGGGCCTCTAGTTGCCGATGAATTCATGATCAAGCTTTTATATTCTCGAACTCAGGTGGACTTAGCTTGCTACCCTAGAGTTCTGGGCAAGATTTCCGTATAACCCCATACTTCATTATGCATTCTATTCTAGGATAAAGGAAAGCAGAGGCAAAACAACAGATTTCCTTTGGAACTACGGCTTTGTTTTTGATTGATATGGGGTTATACGGAAGCATAGACAGAAATTGATTTCATGGACAATTTTGATCAAAGTTTTAACTTGTGTTCAATTGATATCAGAAACAACTAGTTACATAAGTCCTGAAATCAACTAGCACGATCATCTAATCAGTTGACTCTCCCATCCAAATGCATGTGTTCATCAAGGTGTATACTTTTTTCAGAATCAACATGCAAAGAGTCCATAGCAGGAGATCTGAAGGAAGCGAGGCAGAAGTTGATGGATTAGGTAATTTTGCTTCCTGTAGTGTGTTGCATGCGCACAAAACATGAAAATTCTCGGAAACCAGCCAAATTTAAGTGTGAAGCCCAAAGTATGATCACCTTTTAAATCTTTCACTTTGCTTTAATCAGAATATCCGATAACATGCAAATGATAGCTCCATTAAAACATAAAAAATGTTGCAACTTAATAATATCAATCATCAGATATGACGTGGTGTTTTCCCTTTGAATTGTATAGACAAAAAGACTTTGATAGGGTTCATTGTGCCTGATTTTTTTAAAGTGTAAACTAACCAATCAAGGGGGCTAAACATCAGTAATTGGCTTGTTTGTAGAAAAAACAGTAAAACCTCCTGAATAGCTTCTTTAAGTGAGAGACATGTGGAGCATTGGTGAGCCTTTTTTCCATTACAGCAGAGTGCTGCTTATGACTGACATGATAATTTCAGAAATGTGCATGTAGATTGTGTGTGTTCTGAGCTTTCTATCTGTTCAGTGACTTAATGACAATTAAAGATGTGTTACCTATCTTATTATCATTATTCAAACCTCACTATTTAATGGGATGCTTCTGCTTTAACTATATGCATGGTTGATGAATGCTCTGGGTGTTCCTCTTTTTTTCTAACCATTTTCACTGCATTACCGCAGTAGGGTAGGACTAGAACGGAACATAATTATGCAAACCATGTGAGTAGTCCACCCAATAAATCCCACCCATCCCACCCATCCCACCCCAGGGGAGGACATCCATCACACAGTAATCTTGTGTGTGGGAAATAAACGTCTCCTACCCCTAACCCTGTAGGAGACGGGACTTCCATTTGTTCATCCCTATCCAAGAAGACTAGAATATCTAACCATCTCTTGATGTTATAGAAAGGTAGCAAATTCTTCTCAATTATTTTAAGACCTTGAGTGTTGGTCAGGCCGGGGCTAGAACCCTCGACCTCCTGCGCAACAGTCCAGCGCTCTATCCATTGAGCTAACCAGGAGGCAGTTAGCTCAGTGGTCCTTGATGCTTTCTTTCAATGGTCAATAGTCCTTGATGCTTTCTTTCAATCTCTTGGAACACAGCTGAACAAGAGCTTGCTAAACTTCAGCGTCAATATCGAATTATTGAAGGAGACAGAAGGGCTTATAGTGAAGAGACACAGAATCAAATAAGAAAACAGACGTAAGTTTGCACTTTTGAATGTTGTATTTGTATCATGGGATTTCTTGAGATCGAGTCTAAAAAATCTGTGCATTGGTATTGAAATTTTTGTTTATCCTGATTATTTTATACTCTGTATTTAAGAACAATCTGTACCTCACTATAAATCCCTGCTTTGACTGAATCTTTAATGCTCTGACTAGTTACAGGACATGACTTTGTTTTAAGTCGTGTAACTGTCCTTTACAAATAATTTGAGGCTTCCCAGACCCTTTTACTCAGAGTATTTCCACATATCCTTTCAGGGTGAATACATAGATATTTCATGAAGCAAACCTCATCATATGTAGCAATTAATAAAAGAAAAAATATTTGAAACAAAGGGGTTATTTGACAGAAAACCAATGCTTATACATTTCCTTCCTGTAACAGAGAAGCCATTCAATCCCTTGAAAAAGAAAATGCAGAGCTGGTGAAAGATAATACACTGGCAGGAAGTTTGCAGAACCAGAGCCAGGTAATTTGGCCGGCAGCCATGTTAACAAAATTAATTTTTCATATAACTGCACCTGTAATTTAAGAATATAGAGTTCAGAATTTATTTATTTATTACAATTTAATGGCAATGATGACAATTAAATAAATCTAAATGTACAAACAAACAAAGCCATAATGATAATCTGTAAAAGAGTGGAATACTCCATGCAAGACAGATCATTGTGTAGCTAATCTAAATAAGTCAAATATAATAACGGACAGAAAAATTTTAGATCAAAAATAAAAACATTAAAAATGTCAATGTTCCTTATTTAAAAACTTCCTCACTCTAGACTTAAAAACTGCAAGACTAGGAGATAATCTAATATCTAAGGGTATCAAATTCCACATTTGAACAACTCTATTAAAATAAGTGGATTTAAAATTAGTCGTTCTCGCAAAATTCATCTTCAAGGAATAGTCACAACATGTCTAAATCTGTACGGATCGTTCCGAGAATAAAAATTCAAAAATGGAAAAACATCCACATTTAAGTATCCATTTAAAGCCTAGTACAAGAATGTAACATCAAAAAGATACTGTCTCTTTTCAAGTGAAAGCAAATTGAGACATTTCAAGCGCTTGTCATAAGTAAAATTCTTTTTTCCGAGAATAAATTTTGTTCCCCTCCGCTGTATGCGCTCAAGCTTTTCAATGGTTCTCTTGGTATGTGGCGACCACACAATTGTTCCATATTCCACTTGTGATCTAACCATCGTGCAGCACAGCATCTTCAGAGTTTTGGTGTCCTTCCAACCTGTACAGGTTCTTCTTAGCAGGTCCAAGATTCTCTTAGCTTTATTTGTAATAGCATCAACATGAGAGTCCTAGGAAAGATGATGGTTCATAAGCAAACCTAGGTCGCAAAACTCATAAACTTCCTCTATGTCCGATCTGTTTAGGGTGAAGCTAGATCTGAATGGTTGTTTCTTCCGGGTAATGCGCATCATCTTGCATTTCTTCACATTGAAGGTCATCCTGTTCCGTTGACTCCAAGCACACAGACTATCTAGATTGTCGTGAAACATCATTAGGTCATTTGGACAATTTACCAACCTATACTCCTTGCAGTCATCTGCACAAAGTGCCACAGAGCTTTCTTGGACTACCTCAGGCAAATCACTGATGAAAATAACAAAAAATAATTGTAGAATTTAGCACTTAAAAACTTTTAATTAACAGGATACATGTAATTCTTCATTCACCATTTCCCTGTGTGAAATTTGATCATGGATCTGGTCATGGTTTATGTGGGGTATTAGGAAAATTCAGGAGGAAGAAACCTTCTGATAAACCCTTGGAGCAAGGACATGAATCAACATCAAACTTAGCCCACACTTAATACCAGTTCTAGGAATGAAAACCTGGAAACAACATTGGGTAGTGAGCACAAACTACCCACCACCCCCTCTCTGCTGCACTTAGGCCATGAATGGAAGAGAGAAACGTTGTCTCTAATCTGCAGTGAGAGCCTCAAACTTGGTTATAGTTAGAAGTATTGTTTATCCTCTTATGAGACGTAAATTACTAATTTAAAGTCACTTTCTTTACACCTAGGATAGAACAAATACGGACAAATTAAACGGCCTTTTAAACAAAGAAGGTAATTTAGTTGCTGTTTATTGTAATCATGCAGTTTACTGTGGTGTTTCAGGTAATTTTCATCTCTTCCTATTCATTTGTCTTTTGGTGATCAGTTTGAACAATTCAGGTCTACACAAAGGTTCATTTTGACCACTTATTTTGAGTTTTTGTAACAACCTATAAAAGCATCAGCTGTTATGTTCATCCCAAATTTTGGTTTCCACCCTCCAAAGCAATGGTGGACACAGGTGGCCTGGTCACTGAGTTGTTTGTAAAATGTGGGCATCCTAAGTGAAGTTATAAATGCATTTTAAGACATTGTTTTGAAAGTTTCTAACTCGTTGTGATATTAAACAGAGGACTATTCTCACTCAGACAATCATACTACTTAATAAAGCATAATGACACTCAGTGTTATCTACATGTAATATTAAAAGCAGATTAATTTGAGAAGGATTTCAGTAAAAAGAATAATATTGTACAAACTTAGATGATCTCAAGTTGCAGCTTGACGAGTTGAATGATGACATCAAGGGACTTGATGATCAGGTGAGAATTGTGTACTAAGCTTGCACAGTGTATTTATAACCTGTACTCTATGTCATCTGTTATGTGGATAATTTTCATTATTAATGTCTCTGTATTGATTTTATAAGTCTGACCCTACCTTTTACTTTCTCAACACTGTTTGAACATTTTATTTCAAACTCTAGATACGATTGATGGAAAAGAAGACTAAACAGCAAAGAAAAAATATGGGAGGGTAAGATGTAAGAATTTTGGCAATAATGATAATAGTTCTTGACATTGTACAGTTATAATTATAGGCATGTAATATAAACTGCAGACTGAGTAAACAAGTTCATAGCATACCTACCATACCATTGTACCTTGTTCATTTTAGCAAGGTCCAAACCTTTAGCCTTTTGATACTTTGTCTTTCTGAGGATTCATAAATAAGGTGGCTGGAATTTTTTCTGTACCTCATGGGGTGCAAAAAATTCCACTTAAGGTTATTAAGTACCATTTCTAAGTGCTATCAGTTTTGTTTTGAAGAAAGTTTCCATGAGCATAACTAATAACAAGATTGATGTGCAGCTGGGATATAAAACTCACTTGGGACTTTATTGCCTGTTTCTTCTTGGATTTCTCCCAGACTAGACTACACAAATGAGTTCAAACACCTTCGAGGTACCCCCCATCTTGAGCCTTCTTTGACCTGTTTCTAGAGTAAACCCTGATAATCACCTGGTTACGTTTGTTTTTACTTTACTACATCTATTTTAGAGGTCCCAGAAAGAGTTTCTTTTTATGGATTTTATAACACGTTCCTCTGGTTTGAATTTGCTGTCTTTTGTAATTTTTTTTTTTATATGTTATACTTGTAATTCGTCTTTCTCTTTAATGTAACGTTTTTTGAATTTGCATATTCTTTTTATTAGCGTACATAGCAGCCACTTACAAAATAAGAGGACCCAAAAGTACATCAGAGTTCTTGAAAACAGATTAGACAAGGTGAACGATCCTTATACAAGAGAGAGATTTTGAATGTTTGCTGCGTTTGAGTGTGTCACGATTTCTTCTCTAACTTTCCCACGATTGAAAGCTTTGCTTATGTCTATTTAGAGTTATGTTGTACTTTTTTGCCTTTTCTACACAAATTCTTTGAATTTTTTGCGAAGAAAATATCAAATCCCGTACTGCAGTTTGGTATTAAAATATTGAACTTGCACCGCGCCGATGACTCAGAGGTCGGGGTGACATTTTTAGAACAAGATCTATCCTTATTTAAACAGTGGCACTGAGTTATTCTTATTAATACTCTGGTGGTATGCTTTGATCAATTTCATAGCTATTACTTCATTGGTCCAAAAAGGTGTCTGGCTAATTTTGTGATGATCTTGCTGTGCTGATCATTTAGACCATCTACAGTGGGCTACTTTATACATGTACACTCTTTTTTTCTTTTTTTTTTTTTTTTAATAAGAATCTTGTTTATAAGAACGTTCAGGCTGAGATTAACCAAAATTATAAGAACATACTCATAACATACCTAGGTTAAGAGTCAGTTAAGAACGTCTTTATTTTGCTCTATTTTTTGCGAGAAGTTTAAATAAAGGTAAAACAAGTGCAAAACTGTGATTGAACTGGATAATTAACTCAGGGGTCTTTTTTTAACATTAACAATGCGGTTTTCTTATTGTATTTTCTTGTTACAACTCGGTTTGTAGTCGAACTTAGTGTGGTCATGCACGAATTGATGAAACACTATACCTCACAACTATACATTTTAAATATATTTTGGCTCAAAACGCAAAAAAAGAAAAAGAACGTTCAGCCTCAGCCCCCAAATCAGACGTTCTTATATAAAAAAAAAAAGAGTGTACAGTCAGGTATATGTTCATGTGGAGACTCTTTTCTTCTCTCAGGCCAAAGTAGACTTCAACAGCTGCCTGTCAGAGAACGGTAAGCTCCGTGAAACATTTGATCACATGCGAGTGGAAAAGAAGACTTTTGACACCATTCGCCTGAAGCTAGAGAAGGAATTGGTGGAGAATAAGCAAAAAATTATGGATGGTATCGAAACATCTACTGCAGCTTATGAGGCTCGGTTCGTCCCTTGCTCTTCAGATTTTGTAGAAAACTGTAACTTTATTTTTGTGTGATCCTAATAATATATTTTTCCAGTCTGGTTCTCAGTCTGAAAGAAAACTTTGCAAATATTTATATTCCGCTTTATATGTTTGTTCTTTCTTATTTTTTTTTTTTTTTATCATCAGTTATCGCTTTTGTTTCTTTTATTGATTTTATTTTTTGGCGGGTTCATAGAAATGGAAAGAGTACGCTTGTTTTCAGAAGTTGCTAAGGGAAGCCAACACATTCCTCGCGATCTCAAATATATATATTTGTGTAACTCAGGTTCCTCTTTCATCGTGACGTGAAAATTCTTAGATGTGCAAGTGATTTGTAACGAATCACATCCCCCGGGAACTCTTCACCGTTTATTTTTTATAAGTACACTGAACCATGTTTGATTCACACCAATTGGTCGTATCTTTTGATAGAGATGAAGCTCAAGGGAAGATGATGGCGCTGAAAGAGAAAGCTGATAAAGATCTGGCACAATACAACACGGAACTTAAGGAGCTTATGCGCATCATTGAGCATGATCGCAAGCTGAAAGATTTCATGAGGATTAAAAGCGAAGAGAGAGCTGAAATGATGGAAGGCGAACTGTCATCTCAGAGGAAGAAAAAAGATGAAAAGGAAAAAGGCGACAAAGCTGAGGAAACTATTGAGGTTCGTAGAATGTCACGCGTCCCTCTATATAAAAACAAATCTTTTGTCTCTGATTTTTGTAGTGCTGTCCTATAATTCAAGGAGCCATTTACTAAGCATACCAGTAACCTTCTAACTGCAGTAATATTGTGTGTGTATGTATTAAGTGTCAGCTGGTCATACATAATGTACCATCAGTCGCATATCCGGGAGACTGATAGTCGGGCGTGAGGGAAAAAATTGGCGCTACGACAATAATTTTATACTCGAGACAAACGGCAGTGTTACCCTTAGTGAAAAATTTTTTTGTTTTATTTTTGCAGTTCTGCTTGATCGGGCGCAGTGTCTGTTAGCAATTCTCTCTCTTATTGCGCTTAAACAATTTACCTGTGCTGGTTCTGATAAATGATGTTTTTGGATAGTTTGTATGATATAATTGCTTCCTTCATTTTAGTCATACGAGTCAGCTTTCCACACAATCAAAGAAGCCACTGGTATTGAGGACATTGATCAGTTGGTCAATAAATTCATAGAAGTCGAAGACAAGAATTTTGCCCTCTTCAACTATGTCAACGAACTCAATAATGAAATTGAGCAGCTGCAAGAACAAATAAACGAGGTAAAGGATGAAACTATCGTAATTGACTTCATCAGAAATTTTCATTTTCAACTTTCCCCCCCTCCCCCT